AAATGAATTGATTAGTACTTGAGATTTCATTTATTTTGTGCATGATACGACAATTAATGCTATCTTAGATTGTGTTTGATTTTTTTATTAATAATCATTTTTATTTATTTATACACACAAACACATCTATTTATATATTTTTATTTGTGTTAAAAAAATATCATGTTACAATTACAAGGTTAAAATTATTATGTATATATCTTTAATATATTCAAGCAACGAGTACTTATTAAACAATCTTATTATATTCAGTATTTAATTTTTAATAAATACCAAACAGTTTATCAACAACATATTTAGTATTTAATTATTCAACACTTAAAATTCAATACTTAATGATTTAGTATTTAATTTTTAATTTTGTGAAACACTATCTAACTATAAAAATTAGTTTTGTCTGTGAAATGATATATATTATAGGTGAAGCGATTAACTAGCATGCATGTTGCTTAAGTTTTGCTCTTGATTTTGTTGAATTCGTCAATAAATGTCAAAAAACTGTCACAATATTGTTGCATGTGGACTCTCTCCATAATTGCTTGAATGTGCTCAATGGGGTTGAATTTTCTAATGGACTGATTGATACCACAGACTGGGACACGTGGTCTCTTGCGTAAAACCTGTTGCTCGGCTTCTTACTATAGATTTACCTGGTGAGGTTTTTGTTGCTTGAATTTGATAGGGAGTTTTTGTTCAGAGCTGCTTTTACAGATACCATCTTCAATTATTAGGAAAAAAACAAAAGAAATAAAGAAAGAAAAAGACTTGCATATACTATGTTTTAGAAATCCCACAAACTGTCATATTCATATACTGTCTTCAATTATTAGGACCAAAAAACAATAACAATAAAGAAAGAAAAAGACTTGCACCTGTTAGAAATCTCACAAACTATCGCATTCATATATATACTATCTTAAAAACAAAAAGAAAGAAAGAAAGAAAGAAAAAGACTTGCATATACCAAGTTTTAGAAATCAAACAAACTGTCACATTGTGGGATTTCAGCAACCAATAACAAGTTATGCTGCTCGTTGGTGTTGCATTTTCTAATGGGCTGATTGATGTCCATAGACTGTGACAAGTGACACGGGGTCTTAAAAAAGGACCATGATATAGATTGTTATGAATTAATTAAGCTATCGTTTTCTTAAAATAAAAATGGAATATGCTATAGCTAGCCTCTCTCGCTGTCAAAGTCTAGTGGACGGGAATGGATGTATAAAGCCAGCATTATATCGAAGTTCAGGATATCATAAAATTATTGCTTCTCCTTTTTCTCCATTTCTCACATCCTTCTAAGTTTGCATGTAATTTAGCTCGAATGCCTCCTCCAAAATGGTAATGGTTCCACATATATACATCCGTTTGCAACTTGTTATCCTGTTTGTTATGATTGAATTAATGTTCTATGTGTAGATAACAGAATGATTCCTAATATTTAAAGATGAAGAGGCTCGAAATCGTTAATTAACTAATTTAAAAAAACACTTAAAAGGAAAAAAAAAAAAAACAAAAAAACAGAGTACAAAGTTGAGTTGGGAATAACATAGATTTTTTTATATATAATATAATTTTTATATACCAAAGTTGTCAATATCACAACACCATGAGCTGTAAAATCAGACCAAACATTTAAGCTTCCAGCTACTTGGAAAAACCTCCAAGAAACTCAATTTTTTCACTCTGCCAAGAGCTATGGCCCTTTTGAAAAATAGAATGAAAATGGTGGCATTCCATAAACGGCAGCATTTGCGTGATCTGTTAGTGTTGTTTCCTAACAAAAAATAAAATAATAAAAATAAAAATTATATTCTTAATTATAATAGAAGCTCTTTATACAATAAAGCTGTGCCTTGTCTTGGAATTGATTTAGATTATGTTAACGAAAAAAAATAATAATTGGAGTTTGGTAAAAAGGAAAAAAACATATCTGATAACAATCCCAAATGATCATTTTTCATTTGAATCACACAAATGCTCACACTGCAATATATCTCGCAGGAAAATCATGGACTTCAAGGCTGGTACTAGCAATGGGCCTCTTGCTAATAGGAATGGTCATCCGAGCCCATGACAACGAGTTTGTTCATCAAAACAATACTAGTACTTGAATTAAGCTGTTTTTTAGAAATTAAAAAAATAAAAAATTCACAATGAAAATAAAGGATTCAGAATAAAAATTAAGGAATTAAATAATATTTTAATTCTAATAATTTGTTTTGAATATTAACAAAAAATCAAAATAAAATTTAAAAAATTTAAATTTTGATTTTTAATATGAAAAGTAATAATGATTAAAAAAGAATGATTTCATCTCTAAAAGTAGTAGTAAAAATGATTGAAAAGATTGTGACAATAGAGATGGTGGTGTTGATAGTGGTGAAAGAGGAGTAGGAAAAAGTGGTGATAGTAATAATAGTATAATAATAATAATAAGATATTTTTTTAAAAAATAATGCCACCATCATGAAAAGTGACATAGAAGAATTAACAGTGATATCCAGAATAATAATAATAATAATAATATTTTAAAAAAAATATATATTCACCATCACAAATGATGATGATGGTAATGGTAGAGATAATAATGATAATAAAAGTAATTAATAAATAATATATTTATCATTTGAAAAAAAAATCTTGTTCTCATTTTTTATTATTATTATAAAGATATTCCAGGTCCAAAAGTCCAGATCGATCCTTCAACGTTATGTTGAGCACATAAAAAGGGGACAACTATTTATAAAATTTTATGCATACATAAAGATTTAAAATCGAAACCACTTACTTAAGCGACTAAAACTCTTTTTCATTAAAACAAACCCTCTTAAGTAAATTCTTTATTTTTATTCTCACCTCTCCAATATAAATGAAATTATGTTTAATTGTTATTCTTTATTCTTATTCTCATTTTATTTTATTTTTAATTTAAACACTTACAAAATAATTAAGAATGACTTTTATTCTCATTTTTATTATTTAATTCTTTATTACCCATCAACACTAAAAGATAACACAAATGCTGCGGTTTATGGAATGCCACCATTTTCATTCTAGTTTTCAAAAGGGCCATAGCCGGCAGAATGAAAAAATTGAGTTTCTTGGAGGTTTTTTCAATAAGTAGCTGGAAGCTCAAATTTTTGGTCTTATTTTACAACTCATGCTCGCTGTTGTGATATTGACAATTTTGGTATATAAAAATTCTATTAAAAAATCTATATTATTCCCAACTCAAATTTGCGCTCTTTTTTTTTTTTTTTGATAAATAAATTAGTTTCAAGCATCTCCATCTTTATATATTAGAAATTATTTTATTATCTACACATAGGACATTTACTCAATCGTAACAAGCAGGATAACAAACTACAAAAGGATGTATACCGTTACCATTTTGGTGAAGGCATTCTAAATTACGTACAAACTTTCAAGGATGTGGAAAGTGGGAAAAAAGGAAAAGCAACATATTTGTGATATTTTGAACTCCGATATGATATTGGCTATAAACAGTTGTCACAGTCTGTGGAGCCATTAGGAAATTCAACCTCAACGAGCACCGTACAGGTGGTTGGTTGCTGAAAACTTCATTATTGGATAACCTTGTAGAGATGCCGCATCCCACAACCTGACGGTTTGTGATATTTCTAAAATATGGTATGTGCAAGTCTTTTTCTTTCTTTATTTCTTTTGTTTTTTTATTTCAATAATTGAAGATAGTAAGTGTAGAAGTAGCTATCAAATTCAAGCAACAAAAAATTCACCAGGCAAATCAATCATAAGAAGGCAAGCAACAAGTTGTACAAAATCAAGAACGAACAAAACTTAAGCAACATACATGCTAGTTAATTGCTCCCCCTAGCATGTATCATTTCACATGCACAACTAATTTCTATAATTATCACCATATGCACAATTAATTTTTATTATTATATTCAGTATTTAATTTTTAGTAAATACCAAACAGTTTATCAATAACATATTTAGTATTTAATTATTCAACACTTAAAATTCAGTATTTAACAGATTAAATAATTAATTTTTAATTTTGTGAAACACCATCTAACTATAAAAATTAGTTTTGTCTGTGAAATGATATATATTATGGGTGGAGCGATTAACTAGCATGCATGTTGCTTAAGTTTTGCTCTTGATTTTGTTGAATCTGTCAATAAATGTCAAAAACTGTCACAATAATGTTGCATGTGGACTCTCTCCATAATTGCTTGAATGTGCTCGATGGGGTTGAATTTTCTAATAGACTGATTGATGCCACAGACTGGGACAAGTGGTCTCTTGCGTAAAACCTGTTGCTCGGCATCTTACTATAGATTTACCTGGTGAGGTTTTTGTTGCTTGAATTTGGTAGGGAGTTTTTGTTCAGAGCTGCTTTTACAGATACCATCTTCAATTATTAGGAAAAAAACAAAAGAAATAAAGAAAGAAAAAGACTTGCATATACTATGTTTAGAAATCCCACAAACTGTCATATTCATATACTGTCTTCAATTATTAGGACAAAAAAACAATAACAATTAAGAAAGAAAAAGACTTGCACCTGTTAGAAATCTCCCAAACTATCGCATTCTCATATATACTATCTTAAAAACAAAAGAAAGAAAGAAAGATATATAGAATAATAATAATTAATAATAATAATAATATTATTAAAGACCATGTTTTGCTGCTATATTAAAGACATTCGTGCTTTGTTTTTTGTTTTTTATTTTTCCTTTTTGGAGTGGTTTTTTGGTAACTATTAATTGGTTAATTGACGATTTTGAGCTTCTTCATCTATTTTGATAGGTGAAACTAGAGAACCGAAATAATGAATGCGTTGCTTCAGATGACAATATGGGTTTGGTGGACTGTCATGATTTTGCCGGCGTTGGTGTGCCCATCAGTAATAGAAGAAACAAAGACACTCCGTTACAACACGGTGACCTTCAAATTTGAAGATGCTACCGAAGATAGCTACTCGGCATTTGTGAATTCTCTGCGAAATGAAGTCAAAAGCCGGTAGTAGAGAGAACATTGAATTGGGAGTTTACAAACTACAGGCAGCCATCCAGTCGGCCTATGGGAAACCCGAAGATGTGAACACTGAGGCCAGATTTTTCATTATTTCCATCCAAATGGTTTCAGAGGCAGCAAGATTCCAATACATACTGAATAAGGTACTCGAAGGAGGCATATACGGGAGTTATGAACCAGATTATAAAGCAATTTCCTTGGAGAACAGTTGGAAGAAGATCTCTGATGCCATTCAAACTGCTGATCCTTCTGGAAAATTTCGCTCAAACATTACTTTAAAGGATGCAGAGAACAAACAATGCGTAGTTACGCAAGTGAGTGACATAGAGAACGACATGGGACTTTTGAAGTTCTTGGAGACTTCAGCAGGCCAAGCATCTCAGTTTTCTCAACTTCTGCAAATGGCATATTTCTAATATCCTAATAAATGGCAATAAAATATGTTATTATTATTATTATTATTATTATTGTGAAAGCCAATGACTTATAGTTCATTTGGCATTAATTAGTGCCTCTTCTATGTTATTAAGAGAATTCTAGACCGAATCTCTCTTATGTAAAAATAAAAATAATATTAGTCTAATTAAATCCACCATATATTATTTACAACTGGAAACCTCTAACTTTTTAAATTCTGTTTAGACACCCTTTCTCTCTTGTAGAGGAGAGGAAGTGAGTGGAGTTTCCTCCATTCATACAAAATACCGTTACTAGCTACTGTGTTGTGATTCGACTGATAAAAACAAGGTCCAAAAGAAGACAGTAATGGCGAGTGGTGCTGGATCCCAATTAAGGACCAGATCAAACCTGCAAGCCCATTGAGGGGGTATATGTTGTGGGCTTTTATAAAAGCATAAAGTGAAATATAATACTATATAGAAGAAACATACGGAATGAAAAAATATGTTTTACTCAAGAATTAAATTGAAACAATTAGAAATATAAGAATAGAATTACCTCGTTATGTAATAATAAATTGAACTATTTACTCATTTAAACAAAAAGAATTTTATATACCTTCCCTGTTTTTTCTCTCTCTCTCTCTTTTGGAATGCCATGACAATTTGGTATTTTTTCCTATGGCAGTATATATATATATATAGTCTTCTAATTCTCAAGTCGGTCTGTGTCAATCAAAACTTCATTCTTAATAATTTTAGGAGCATATTTTTGACATTGGTTTGGTATATCTAAAATTCAAACTTAGCTTTTTAAACTTGCTATAAAAGCATAAATTGTAATGATCATATTGAATTCCAAATGAAATTATATTGAAGCTGTTAGCACTCGATTTTGACCCTTATTTTTTTCAAAATTTTCAAGAAAATAAAAAAATTGCAAGAAATATCATTTTATTAAGTTTCTCTAATTTTTCTATTTTTTAGCCCTTTTTCTGAGTTTGTTACGAGTTTTATGATTTTTGTGAGTGTTGAAAAAATAATTAAGTATAAAAATTTGAGAAAAGAAAATTTGCGATAGAAAAATAAAAAAGAAAGAAAATAAAAAATGAGAAAAGAAAATAGAATGAAATTCGAAAAATCAATAAGAAGGAGGGTTTAATTAAACTAAGAAAAAAATAAAAATAAAATAATATATGGATAATAAAAAGAGAAAAAACTAAGAAGAAAAGAAATTAAAAAAAAAACGAGAGAGAAAAAGAAAAGGGAAAGGAAATAAAAGAAGAGAGAAAGAGATAAAGGGAATAAAAAATAGGATTAATTAAGGAGGGTTTAATTAAAAAATATTTTAAAGTATTATGGATCAATCTGAGAATAATAGAAAGTTGAAGGAGAAATTAGAAGTAATTAAAGATCCAATCAGTGAAATTGAATGGCCAAATTGCAATAAATTAAGGGACGTGATTGAAATAAAATTGAAACATACAGGAACCAACTTAAAAACAGACTTTCCCTCTAACAACTTATCTCCTTCTTTCTTCTTTCTTTCCCATGCACAAAGGGGTTGTCTTCTCAGCTGAAAACCCAGACTTTTGCAGGTTCAAAAAGTCACGAAAGTTGCCCACCAAACACTCCACCATCCTTCTTTTCCATCAGCATTAAATGGTCCCCATTATAGCCTCTCTTGCCTGTGATTTTGGCTACCACAAAGCATGGCCTCTCCTACAACAACCCACCTTGGCAGCCATGAATGGACAAGAGAAGAGGATTTTTGGAGATTTCAAGAAACGGCCACGATCAATAGATGAAGGATGAATGGTTGGGATAAACAAAGGGAGGTCTTTATAAGAAGGAGAAGAAAGTGAAGCAGAGCAAGATGGCACTGTCAAGGAGAAAGAAAGCTCAACAGTAGAGAGGGGGAGCTTTTGGAGAGAAATAGAGAAGAACAAAACTTGAGAAAAAGGAAAATAAAGCCAAGGGAAAATATTTTGAAGTGTGGAGGATAGTTTTAAAGAAGAAAAGGTGAAAACAATGACGGAAAAGGAAAAACAAACATCCCAAAGTGGACTGCTCGCAAACTCGCTATTGTCAACCCTCCAACTTTGCACTTTTTTTTTTTAGCTACAAGAGGTACTCTTTTCAACTCATTATTCTTGCATTTTACATTCTATCTATCCATGTTCGAGGTATGGACATTTTATATCATTTACATTTCGTTTTAAGCTTGAGAGTTAAGCTCAAAGTAGGGCTGTTGGTAACACAAAAAACTATGAAAAAAAGTCTCTTTCAGTTTGAAATAGAGATTTCCGGGTCAATTTTCTTCCATTTGGGTAACTTTTGGAGTGATTATTTATTTAAGAGTGTAGAGGGCCGTCCCTTCTACAGCCTAAAACCATTTTTAATGTCAGAAAGTGTCTAGAGAACTAGAGAGAGAGACCCAAAGTGAGACACCCGAAAGACTTTGAAATAAGACGCCAAATTTTGAGTTCGTTGAGTGGCAGTTTCGTAATTTTGAACATAAATGACTTTTACCACGTGGCATCCTGTGATTGGAGAATTTTTGGGCACAAAGGTGCAGAGTGGTTAGTCCCAATGATAGTCAGGGGCATTTGGGTCTCTTTACATGTAAGGGTAAGAGATGCTAATACCAAAAAATAAAAATTCATTAGAATTGTTAGCCTTTACTTTCGATACCATTGAACTTGTTGATTTTTTTCATTTATTTATTTTTGCAACTTAATTGTATGTCAATATTTTTGAAGTGTGAGTGATACGTAGTAGTATATGACCCGTAAATCCGAGACTATGGGATTCTTGAAAAGATATAAGGTTAGTTTTAATGCTCTACGATGAGGTTGGAATGAGTTTTTATGATTAATACCTTAAATTATTCAGAATAAGTGTCAATCTCAATGTGTCTCTTTTATATCGTTTTTGTGAATTTTTGCATGCTAATTATTGTTTTGAAGTTTATTGTACTAAATGTGAGATCGTTGAGTCTTCTAAGTTTCAAGGATCGACGATGATCTCATGTAAAACTAAGTTTGAAAAAAAAAGAAAAAAAAAAGAGAATATCCCTTTTAGATTATTCATTAGGGAATGAAGTTGCTCCCGACCCTATGCTTTCCAAAATTTGTGTTTTATTGGGGACATATCTTGGCCAGTTTTCTTATGCATCTAATTTAATCTTTTTAATTTTATTTTATTAGTTTGTTCTTGGCATGCCAATCATTTTAGGACTTACTAGTTGAATATCTACGCTACGCTACGGGCGGATAACTATTATATACATAGGGTTAATGATTCGTATGGTGTAATACGAGTAAAAAGTTTTATTTTACGTAATTAATATAGATTGAATCTATATATAGTTAATTTCTAACAAAACTAATTATATATATATATATATATATATATATATATATATCAAATTCATAGTATATAGAATAAATAGAAAAATATAAAAAAAAACTTATAAATTTTTTGAACGCATTATTATTTTTTAAAAAATTGAGCCAAACTATCTAAATCATACTTTTAGCTCTCTCTCTCTTTCTCTCTCTCTCTCTCTCTATATATATATATAAGTAAAACACTCTTTTAAAAATATAAAAATAATTTATTGTATAAATTATAATAATATATTTTAAAAAATAAAACATTGACGTTCTAAAATTTTATTTCAAAATTTATATATTAAAAAACCAAATTTATTAACAAATAAAATTATATAAAAAATTAATTTAATGAGAATTTTAATAAGAAACAAATAATTGAAGAAATAAATTTTAAACAATAAGAATAAAAAAATCGGATATGCATGTTAATATCAATGTCAAAGATATAATTAATATTGGTTCAAGGACATTATAGGAACCAATAATATATATGTTTTCTTTTTCGGTGAAGGGATCTATTATATATGGCCGCTTAACTTGTACAATATTTACTTGGGGATCCAATTATGCTATGACAATATGTATATTTTTTTAAGGGTTTCATTTTGCCTCTTCATGATCCAATCCTAAAATACATCATGATTTAAAATAATTAGCCAACTTTTTTTTTTTTGTTCTATCATGAGATTGGTGGCCGGACTTTTAAAAATATAGAAAGAAAAAAAAGAGCAAGGTCGCGTCTCTTTGGTGTGTGTATATGTATCGTACTTAGTAGATTCGGAGTATATAAACTAAATAAAAATATATAAAAACCTCATTTAAATTATATGGAATATGTCAAAGTGAATAGATTTAAATAAAAACTATTATACAATTGTTTCGATAAATTCTAAACAAAGTATATAAACTAAATAAAAATATATAAAAAAAACTCTCTTAAATTATATAAAATATGTTGAAGTGAATAGATTTAAATCAAAACTACTATACAATTGGTTTCGATAAATTCGATTATAAAAATAACCAAATAAAATTGTAAATTTTTTAAACTAATTGTTAATTTTTTTTAAAAAAAAACAAGTCAAATTATTTAAAACACAATTTTAGCCTTTTCTCTCTCGTTAAAATTTATATAACCAACAACTCCATTTTCATATAAAAAATCATAAAAATAATCAATTGTATAAATTATAATAATGTATCTTAAAAGATAAAACAATCATGTTTCAAAATTTTATTTCAAAAGTCATATATAAAAAAACAAATTTATTAACCAATTAAAAAGTAAGGACAAACTAAATCTCAATAGCCTAACTCTGTTAAAAAGAAGGAAAAAAAAAAAAAGGGATTCTAGCCCAAAAAAAAATAGCTACGAGTAATGGGAATATGAAGGATGCTACAACAATGGGACTCGTGAAAGACTAGTTCAACCACCCGAGCCTTTAAGAAAAAAAACAAAAAAGGCAAGACGGGAAAAGGGGTTAATGTAGCATGAACAAGTCTCACCCCTAGTTCTTTTATTTATTTTTTTTATGATGCTTGTGCTACGCTGCGGTTAGACAACCATTATATATACAAAATTAATGATTTGTATGGTATGATGCGAGTGGATGTTTTGTT